CGGGTGATGGTGCCGCCGCCGATGCCGCCCAGCGGGCACCCTGGCAAGCACAGAGCACCTTGGTCCTGGTGCTCCCTGCGGCTCCAGGCCCAGGGGGAGCTCGGAGCTCCGCGATCCCCTCTCGCTCTGCGGTGCCCGCTCTGCGCCCAACGCGCCAGTGCCCGTCCCCAACTCCTCACGCCCCATCTCCAGCCCTGCAGCCTGGTGGCCCCCTCCTGTCCCTCCTGGCCCATCTCACCCCAACCACACAGGCCTGGGAGCTCCCACCAAAGCCTGGCAGCAGCTCCAGGGTCCCAGGAAAACCCTGGCATTCCCTGCCCACCAACCCCCTGCCCAATGCAGAGGCTCACCGTAGATCTGCTGCAGAGGAACCGCAGACAACAGGTCGATGAAGGGATACTTCTTCTCCTGGCGGGTTTTCTTGTACCACCATAAGAAATATCTGCAAGGAGAAGCAGGCAGTGAGGACACGGGAGCAGGCCCCTCTCCACGAGCGCTCCAGACCGCACGGCTGGCCCACATTCCAGCTGCCTCGCCACGCAGGGAAGCCAAGGCCTGGCAGGAACCTCTGGTCCCAGTGACACGGTGCAGTGACAGCTCCTGTCCTCGAGGTCGTGCTGTGCAGAGGGCAGGAATCACTGATTCCCAGCAGAGCAACTCTCCGAGCCACTCCACATCCTGCATGCAACGGGAGGACACCGAGCGCTCCGATGGCGGGACAGGGATCCAGGCGTGGGCTCCCTGCTCCTGCACTGAGGCAGCAAGCTCTTGCAGCCCACAGCACTACCAGCTGTATCCCGAAAAAGCAGGGGCGAGCCCGGCTGCCCTGAGTACTCCGAGCCACACATGGAGCCAGACGCTGCCCTGCGGGGATGGAATGCCCCGCAGGGTGGGAATCGCAGCCCTCCAGGCAACGGAGCCAGCCCGGGCGGCAGGAACACGGCTACATTCCCAGCTCAGGAAAGAGACCGGCTTTGCCTGACTAACTGCCCCCAGTCAGGCCTTCCTGCCAAGGAAATGAGCTCGCCTCAGACTATGGCCAGCCTAAGGGACACGGCTGAACCTGAGGGAACAGGGAGACGGAGGCGCCGCGCGGCCGGAGCCGGTCGGGCTGCCGGGGCGGCAGCACACGCAGCTCATCGAGCAAAGCAGCTCATTTTCAGCCACGGGGCCACTTCACCTTTATTTGCCATTTTCTAAGTTTCCCAAATCCCCCAGGTCTCCCTTTCCCAGGACACGGCCCCACACCATCCTGCTGCAGCATGCTCCCGCCACGGCAGCTCCGCGCCTGCCCGCTTCGGGCCGCTCCAAAGGGGCCCTGCACGCCCAGGAACCAGCCCGGCCTGGGCACCAGCACCTCCAGCAGCCTGCCCCTGTCTCTGGGTTCGTCGGCTGCAACTGCTTCTCTGGAAGCAGAGACAGCTCCAGCGTGAGGCTGCTGGAGCCGGGGTTTGGCACTGGGGCTCTCGAGGACGTGCCTTTTCCGCCGGCATCGGAGAGCACATCCAGCTGCTATCAAGGGTTTATGGACACGTAAAGCGAGGTGCTTGCACGGACCCAGGCTAAAGGGCCCTGCAGCTCCCTGGGGAGTTCACTGCGTTGTAAAAGCACTTGCTTCATGATCATATCATGGAAAAACATCTCAATTTACAGCCTGCGATTGCCCAAGTTTTATTCTTGGCAGCAAGCTCCTCCCTCCTTTCCCTGTCACATCACAGATCCCGGCGAGCGAACGTGGGCGACTCCCCATGTAATTCTGCTAATTATCAACCCTCCCAGGCTGCAAAGTCCCTGGGAGCAAGGCCGCGTGCTCTGCAATACCTCCCGCCGCGGCAGGGCTGGGGGGCATCCTTTTCCATTCAAATTGGCAAGGGAATTACAACTTGTCCAGACACCACCCGGCTTTCCCCATCGCCCTGGATCCGGGCCACGAACATCCTCCAGAGCGGATCGGCTACGTTGCGGAGCGGCACCCAGTCCCCTCCGGAGACCCCCGTGCCCTGCCAGCACGGCAGCCACCTTGTCCCCTGTGCCCGCGTGTGCCAGGGGGCAAAGTTCCCCAACTGCACACTTGCCTGCTTCCAGCTGCGTGTTTCAACATAGGGATGATCCCTATGAGCCCTGATAACCCATGGCCTAAGAATACCAGGCTGGAGTTTCTGATATCCTGGAGTTGCTGATATCCCAGTCGCGCCATGCTACGTGTCCGGGCTGCAGGAGAGGAACAGGGGACAACGTCGACCAGAGGTTCAGCCCAAGAGTGACACAGGAACCTGAATCAGCGCAGGATAGGACTGCTGCTCCCGAAACCCTGGACTTTCTGGGATGAAAGCAGCCTGGAGTCCCAAGGCCATTTCGGTGGTCCGAATCCACGCACTAGGCCAGGCCTGAAGCTCCATCGCCTGGGCTTTAGCTGCGCGGCTGCCTCTGCAGCCAAACCACAGCCCAGAGGCGGCACGCGGGCTGGGTACAGCCAGCGGCACCAGCCCCACGGCGCCTTCACGGGCGCCAGGAAAGGCATGCTGTTGACGCAGCACTTCGGTGCGCTCACATCCCTGTTCAAAGGGCCGGAAAAGCCACCGCAGCCACGCGGCGAGCCGGCCGGCCGGCGCTCCCACACCCAGCCGGCTTCCTGGTCGGGCTCTCCCGGGCGGGAGCCAGAGCCAGGGCCCCGGCCTGGCCATTTCCACATGGCCTCAGTGATGAGCAGCACCTGGGGCTGCCTCTCCTTTGCACCTGGACAGGAGCCACTCCACAAGGGAGCCCGGGCCCCTGCAGCGGCTTAGGGACCTGTCTGCTCCATAGGGCTGAGCAGAGCAAGAAGCAGCAGCTTCTCTTTGCCTTAAGTGTCTTGCTGGAAAGAGAAAAAAAGGGAGAGTTTTTGGAGCTTAAACCCTTTTCCTAGAAGCTGTACAAGCTGGAACGAGTGGGAAAACAGGGCACAGGACAAATTGCTGCCTCCTTAAAGCCGAAGGTGACCCCTTGGGTCTCCCAAGGGGGTGCAGATCCTCGTGGAGCCGAGCGCGGCAGGGGCTGCGCTGCCCCTGCAGCAGCTGTTCCTTCCAGAAGCCCTTATTCCCCACAACCTCCACGCGCTCTTCCCGGGAACTCGGGCCTTGCATTAGCTCAGGTTGCTCCGGCAAAACCGGCGCACGGCCCAGGTCCTTATCCGCCCTCCATCAGGATCCGTCCTCAGCTCCCCGCCTCCATCCCGGCACCATCTCCCCTGCTCCAACCACGGGAGGCAGGAGCAGGAAAAAAAGAGAGCTCCGAGAGCAGAGGTGATAAACGCACCCCAGCGACGCGCCCGGCCACGCACGGCGGCGCCAGCCTCGCGCGCACGCGGGGCTGTAAAGCACGGCCAGCGTCCAAAGAGCAGCCGCGCGTTATCCCGGGTATTCCTGGCTCACGACAGCAGGCCCTGCTGCGCCTCGGAGGGCCTCGCGAACGCCGCATCGGCCCGCAGCGTTTCACAGCGTTTTCCACAAAACCCACGTTTGCCTGCCCAGGGGAGCCGCCTCGCGCAGCCCACGGGCGTTTTCCGTGCTCGCCCGTCCGGGACGAGCCCTCATCCCGGGGCCTTCCCGCTCCCTCGGGCGTTTGGGGACCCCTGCAGCACAGCTTGTCCCGGGGACAGGGGGTGCAGGGGTCGCCCCCCCCCCCATGTCACCTGCGCCTGGGGGTCACACACACACAGCATGGCACTTAGGGCCACCCTACACCCCACACCATGTCCCCTGTGCCCACCCCATACCCTGCCCCTCGGGGCCACCCCTCCCAAAGCCACCTCGGGCGCCGCCACCCGCCACGCGAAGCCACCGGGGCCCGCACGCTGCCACGCGGGGCCGCGAGCCGCCGTCCCCGCCGTACCGCCAGCAGAGGCCGAGGTGCCGCAGGACCTCGGCGAGCGGCACGTCGGCGGCGCCGTAGGGCTGCCACGGCTCCTCGAAGCGGTGCGCGAGGCAGAGGCGCCAGCCGTGCGCCGCCACG